CTAACCGTGTCTCTCGTGTGCCACATCTCCACATTTCTTGGATCTTCAGGGATGGTAACTCCACTGTTCCCTGGGCAGCCTGTGCCAATGCCTCATCATTCTTTCTGAGAAGAAATATTTCCTGATATCTAAACTGGACCTTCCCTGGCACAACTTGAGGCCATTCCCTCTCATCCTGTCACTTGTATGTGGGAAAAGAGGCTGACCCCCCACCTCACCACAGCCTCCTTTCAGGTAGTTGTGGAGAGTGTTAAGGTCTACCGAGTCTCCTCTTCTCCACACTGAACAATCCTCATTCCTTCAGCCACTCCCCATAAGACCTGTGCTCCAGACCCCTCACAGCTCTGTTGCCCTTCTCTGGATACATTCCAGGGCCTCGATGTCTTGAATACAAAAGAGAGTACACTCTGCTATACTTCTTTCAGTAAGTGCTCTCTACTTATAAAATAGCTGACTCTGGTAAATAACCGTTCAACACTCAGCTTGTTTACCACCTTCATGATTTTGTAAAGCTGGCTCAGATTTCCCCTCAAGGCCTGTCATGTGGAAGTGAGAGCCCTTTCTGCTGCTCAGTCTCCTTGCTCATTTGATTCCAAGGACAACTTTAACATCATGAGATCACAGAATCACAGAATTGTAGGGGTTGGAAGGGACCTCCAGAGATCATCGAATCCAACCCCCCTGCCAAAGCAGGTTCCCTACACCAGGTCACACAGGTAGGCATCCAGGCAGGTCTTGAACATCTCCAGAGAAGGAGACTCCACCACCTCCCTGGGCAGCCTGTTCCAGTGCTCCGTCACCTTACTGTAAAGAAGTTCTTGCGCACATTTGTGCAGAACTTCCTATGCTGCAGTTTCCGGCCGTTTCCCCTTGTCCTGTCTCCACTCACCACTGAAAAGAGTCCGGCCTCACCATTCTGCCCCCCACACCTTAGATATTTATAGACCTGGATCAGGACTCCTCTCAGTTTTCTTTTCTCAAGGCTGAACAGACCCAGTTCACTCAGCCTTTCTTCATAGGGGAGATGATCCAGGCCCTTCACCATCTTTGTGGCCCTCCGCTGGACTCTTTCCAAGAGAGGAAGAGATCCTTCCAAGAGATTCAAGAGATCATGCTAAGATGCGGGGACCAGAACTGTACCACTTCTCAAAGTATAGCTCTATGTTCCCAGTTTGCACAGAACAGCAAATTAACGCCACCTCTCTTATTCTCAGTGCTTGGTACTGTTTTTGTTGACTTTTTTTTTTTTTTTTTTTTTGGCTGATACAGGGCCAATGGTTTAAGGAAGGTAGCTGCACTCTGAGATGTCTTTCCTGAGATGGAAGTGCAACTACTGAACTCATCATTATGCAAATGTGGCTTTGATTATTTTTTCATATGTGTACTGTGTTACATTTCCCTACACTGAAGCTGCTACATTTTTGTTAATTAATCTCTTTGACTCACAGTCAAGTCTTGCTTGAAAACTGACCTGGTTACTCATTGACTTCTCTGGCTCCTTGCTTATCTGTTTTCCTTATTTCCTGATGGCACTGCTGCCTTTCCCTGATGACTGAATGTTTACTTTCATTTTCCATTTTCCATTTTCCCCTCCCACCACACTGATCTCACCCTGTTTACAAGCATTCCAGAGCCAAGCAGCCAGTGCTTCTTTTTCTTTTAATAGTATGTTTAAGAGATCACTTTTGTGTGTGGCTTTCTGTTCTCCTGGCTTACTACTTAAAACTATATTTGTGCAAGATTTCAGGTGCTTCACAACAAATTATACAGGAATAGCCGGGTAAAAACAGAGGAGAATGGAATTGCCTTTTTTTCCCCAAGGCAGATCTTTGTGTTTAGAATCAATGTAGAGAATATAAATCTTTTTTGAAATTAACATACATTGAATATTTTTTCACTTTCTTCAACTGTACTATTATCATTTTGTCTTTTGTACAACAGGAAAATGATGTTGAAGAGCAAATGTGCTAACTATGTGAAAAGCACTGTTCTCCTGGAACATTATTTTAAAGTTCTACTTTTCTAGCAAAAAGGGCACACAGCAGTAATAGCCACGTATATCCTGCTGGATTCTTTTATGCCAGTCATGAATAACAGAATCACAGCATGGCCCAGGTTGGAAGGGACCTCAAGGATCATGAATCTCCATCCCCCCTGCCACATGCAGGGCCACTAACCTCCCCATTTAATACCAGACAAGGCTGCCCAGGGCCCCATCCAACCTGGCTCTGAACACCTCCAGGCACGGGGCATCCACAACCTTTCTGGGCAGCCTGTTCCAGCACCTCACCACTCTCTCTGTAAAGAACTTTACCTGACATCCAACCTAAATCTTCCCTCCCTCAACTTAAAACCATTTCCCATCACTGTGTGCCATCCAGTTTGCCATTAACAGCAGCATTCAAACATTTCTGAAAACTTATCTGTACGTTGAAAATATTTTTGATGCGTATCTGATGAACTGAAATGCACTGAGTTCTGGGATGCCATTCTCTGACTGCAGGAGTCCTATCAGGAACAGAGGGAGAAAGTCAGATCTCCTGCCACTTATAGAGACTACTGCGCTTTTCCAAACCTCTTCTTGAAGGCTATAGGCCAGAAAATCAGTCACTGCTTGCAACATCTACTGTAGATTGCTAGTTCTTGTACATCCTCAGAGGGCACATCCAGGTCTGTGTTTATGTTGCAGTAACAATCAGGCATAGGTTCTGCATGTAATGCAGAGAACAATGTCTGAAAACTGAGGCAAAAATTAGAGAGAGATTTCGTAATTGCCATTTCCTAAGAAAGCTCAGAGAAAATTATGAAGATCAGAAAGTCTTGAGTAAACTTCAGTGTTAAGTTCTCTGTACATCTTTTTCCCCTGGAAATACAGATCCCCTCTTTCAAAAAGGAACACTGTTCAAAAATGCTCAAGTTTTATTTTATTGATAATATTCAGGCATACTCTCAGAGTCTTTTTGCATCAGATGTAAATCTTGTGTTGAGATAAATTGGTAATAATTAAAAATTTCAATTGATTTTGAAAATTACATATTTTGGAACATATCTGCCATATGAGACGCACTAGTGGAAGTCTAAGATCTTGTGCCTACCTACCACAAGCATTCTCAGTAAAAGATCACACAATCATAGAATGGCTTGGGTTGGAAAGGACCTCAAAGATCATTCAATTCCAATCCCCCTGCTGTGGACTGGTTACCTCCCACCAGAGAGTCCCACCCAATCCAGCCTTGAGTGTATCCAGGGATGAGACACTCACAGCTCTCTGGGCAGATGTGTCAGGGCCTCACTGTCCTCTGAGTGAAAACTTTCCCCTGAAATAGACACCAACATACAGATGTCTTTTGTTTGGTCCCTGATTTTTACCCACATGTGATGTTCAACTCAAGGAAGGGAAAAAACTGTGCTCCATGTGGTTGCATTGGCTGAACTTGATATAAATATGAGTTAGAAATTAGATAAGAAAGTAATATGAATTGGGGTAGAGAAGATACAATGTGAGAAAGTTTCTAACATGAAGCAGAGTGGATTATGTAAGACAGGGAAGAACTGAGGATGCCAGAAAAGCCTGCTTTCATCCTTAATCTTGTGTCTTACACAAACCTGAAGGAATTGGAAGGGCACATGGATCACATCTCACGCGGACAATTCATTGAAATGGCCTCTGTTGATAAACTCCAAGACAATTTTGGAAACCCTCAGGAGCTGAGATGTTTCCTGTCATACAGCAACAACCCATTTGTAATGGGTTGTGTTATGGTGGTGTTATGAAGGCCAGACCCAGCAGGGAGGCTCTCTTCCCACTCTGCTGACATGGATCCAGCAGGCTGATAGGGAACCTGTACACAGGGTTAAGGGGAAAGCTGAAGACTGGTCTGTTATGGTCCAGCCATTAGTGGACCAGGTCAGCTGAAGGAGAGTAGCAGTTTGGAAACTAAGTGGTATCCTGGGCTCCATCAGAAGAGGGGTGGACAGCAGGGAAAGGGAGGTGATTGTCCCTCTATACTCTGCCCTTGTGAGGTCCCATCTGGAATACTGTGTCCAGGTCTGGGCTCCCCAGTACAAGAAAGACAAGGAGCTGTTGGAGAGGGTCCAGAGGAGGGCCACAAAGATGATCAGAAGACTGGAGCACCTCTCCTGTGAAGACAGGATGAAGGAGCTGGGCTTGTTCAGCCTGGAGAAAAGAAGGCTGTGGGGTGACTTCACTACAGCCTTCCAGTAACTAAAGGGAGACTATAAGCAAGACAGGAGTCAACTCTTTACAAGGGTAGTAATGGCAGGACAAGGGGAAATGGTTTTTAGCTGAAGGAGGGAAGATTGAGGTTGGATGTCAGGGGGAAGTTCTTTACAGAGAGAGTGGTGAGGTGCTGGAACAGGCTGCCCGGAGAGGTTGTGGATGCCCTGTCCCTGGAGGTGTTCAGAGCCAGGTTGGATGGGGCCCTGATGGTCTAGTATTGAATGTGGAGGTTGATAGCCCTGCCTGTGGCAGGGGGGTTTGCCTGTGGCAGGAGGGTTGGAGATTCATGATTCTTGAGGTCCCCTCCAACCCGGGCCATGCTGTGATTCTTTGATTCTGTGAGTGAATTGTAGCATCATAGAACAGTTTGAGTCAGAAGGGACCTTAAGATCATCTAGTTCCTAACCCCTGCAGTGGACAGAGTTGCCTGCCACAAAATGGATGGCCCCATCCAACCTGGCCTTGAACATCTCCAGGGATGGGGCATCCACAGCTGCTCTGTGCCAGGGCTTCACCATGCTCAGTAGAACACAAGCTCAGCTGTCACCTTGCCTTGCCTTTTACTACTGCGAGAACTGAAGCCACGGAGCCCACAACCAGTAGGAATCTTCAGGTGCTGCAAGCGCCCGGCCCAACGGAGACGCCAACGGCCACACCGCGGGCTCGAGAGGAGCGGGTCTCGGAGCCAAATTTCTTCTCATCGAGAAAGGAAAGCGAAACTTGGCGCTTCCCCGTGCCGTGCCGTGCGGTGCCATGCCGCGGCGGGCGGGGCGGGCTGTGCCGCCGCTCTTAAAAGCGGAGCGCCGGGCTCCTCGCTGCAGTGTGAGATCCGAGCCGGACAGACCGAGCATCATAAAGCCGAACCGAACCTAGGCTAGATAAACTGATAAAGCTGAGTTGAGCCGTGCCGATTCGAACCCAGCAGGGACAAGACGAGCCAAATAGAGCCGATCCAGCTGAACCTCAGTGCACCTCTCCGGGTCTAACCGAGCCGAGCCATGCTGCTAGGCGTGCTGGGTCACCTGCCGCTGGCCCTGGCGCGGGCGGTTCTGGCAGCGCTGCGCGGTCGGCTGAGCGCGCTGTGCTGGGAGCTGACACCCCTCGTTCTGCCCCTGCTCTCCTGGAGGCAGCGGTCGGGCTCCAGCCCCGACACCCGCGCAGCACTCCGGGACGAGATGGTCCCGACGCCCACCAGCGTCAATTACCACTTCACCAGGCAGTGCAACTACAAGTGCGGCTTCTGCTTCCATACGGCCAAGACCTCCTTCGTGCTGCCCCTGGAGGAAGCCAAGCGGGGACTGGCAATGCTCAAGGAGGCAGGTGAGTCTGGGAGCCACTGGAAGAGGTAGGGTGAGGAATGCATGGGAACGACAAGCAGAACCAAATGGCATTGAAGAAGTCAGACATTTTAGCAGGGTCTGTTCTGATAGGATAAGGGGAAATGGTTTCAAAATAAAAGGGGGAGTTTAAAACTGGATATAAGAAAAAAGTTTTTTACTATAAGGATGGTGTGTCACTGGGATGAGTTGGCCAGAGACACAGTGAATGCCCATGCCTGAAGACATTCAAGGTCAGGCTGGATGGGGATCTGATCGAGCTGTAGGTGTCCCTGTTCATTGCAGGGCTGTTGGACTACATGGCCTTTGAAAGTCCTTTTCAATTCACATGACTCTGTGATTCTAAGTCATTCTGTAACTGCCATGATCAGGTTCCCTCATATAGCTGGGGTGGAGTGTTGGAAAGTAGTGGTCAATAGGCAGATGGGCTCATTACATCATTCTTTGGTCCTTTTCTAGGAATGGAGAAAATAAATTTCTCAGGAGGAGAACCATTTCTTCAGGACAGAGGTGAATTTGTAGGCCAGCTGGTCCGGTTCTGCAAGGAGGAGCTGAAGCTGCCAAGTGTCAGCATTGTGAGCAATGGCAGCCTGATCAGAGAACGGTGGTTCAAGAAGTATGGTAAGAAAAGCTCATCATGCAAAACAAGCACTTGTGGGGTTTGAGAAATGGATTGGGGCAGCCTTCTGGAAGGATGCTAGGAAATGTCTTCTTAGTAGTTCATTTTCAAGTTTGATAGTAGGAAAGATTTTTTCTCAGACAGAGTGATGAAGTATTGGAACAGACTGCCCAGGGAAGTGATGAATTCACTGTTCCTGGAGGTGCTCAAGAAGTGTGGAGATGTGGCACTGAGGGACATGGTTACTGGGCACGATGGGAACGTGTTGGTGATTGGACCAGATGATCTTAGTGGTAATTTCCAACCTTAATGATTCTGTGATTACAGTACCTGTGAACCATGAGTAACTCACAATGAAATACTGTTAATTACACATTCTGAACATATGCAGTCAGTTCTATTGCCTCTGTGGTCAATAGCATAATAAAAGAATAACTCAGCCTGTCTCCATAATGCAAGAAGGGTGATGTGCCTTCTGAAGATGACACTGCTGTGTTTTTTGTGTTGATGCAATGATTTCTCAGGACTGTAGTTGGATGATGCTTGGCGATAGACCATGAGGAAATGAGGCTAGGCAGACTACAACAATTTCCAAATGAAAAAAAAACATATTGCTTATTGATTTTTGAAACTTGTTCTCAGGTGAATATTTAGACATTCTGGCAATTTCATGTGATAGTTTTAACGAGGAAGTCAACGTTTTAATTGGCCGTGGTCAAGGAAAGAAGAACCACGTGGAAAATCTGCATAAACTAAGGCAGTGGTGCCGAGATTATGCTGTTGCTTTCAAAATAAACTCCGTGATCAACAGATTTAATGTTGAGGAAGATATGAATGATCAGATCAAGGCACTCAACCCTGTGCGCTGGAAGGTAAGAAAATAGTGTGCATTATAGGTCACTCTTCAGAGAAAACCAATGATGAAGTGAGGTTCTGTAATCCTCTGAAAGTCTAATGGCCTCGGTCAGAGCTCCAGCTCCAGCTTGGGGTGATAATAGGGGACATCTTGTCAGTGCTGCATGTTGTTGGGATGGGTTGTCTCTTGTTCTGCACTTAAGTGGAGCTCAGTATGTCAAGAATCTTCTCTGTTGTGATATTTACAGGAAATTACTGTTTTACCATATGTAGATCTATTTTTTTTATGATTTTAAAAATAAGACAGAAGGGCTTTATTAAAATGTGTCATGTACAGAAAATGAAGAGAAGATAGTGTAGAATGATATATAATTAGCAGCATAAAACTTTATACATTAATGTTCTGTTACAGAGTATTAGTGGACAGTGCTTATATGATATAACATAGTCTACTAGCACTGTATTAATTGATACATTATATTATCAGTTTAAATATGGGTAGAGACTTAGAAAAAGGAGACAACTTGTCTGATAATTTCTTACTGTTCTGTGATACTGTAATTCTATTTGCTTTTGTGGTCATCTGAAGCTAGCTAAACTTGCAGTTCCCAGTCAAGTTAAAATAATAAAGGATACAGGTTGACTTGATAGTCTGCATGCCACATAGCACTTACCAGCATTTATAATGTAACTATCATAATCAAGGTTCAATCAGAAGTTTGTTCTTGGCCTTGATTATCAAAGCCCTCATTAAGACTAGAGCAGTTAAGATTTATGTAGAAATCTGGTCAAGAACCATGATTGTGTAATTGCACATACAACTATGCAATGTTAATTATGCAATAAATCTTTTGTATAGTATTCACTTAATCATTAATTCCGGACTTGCAGACGTGGGATCAGGGAAGCCAAGGCGCAGGCAGAACTGAACTTGGCAAGGGACGTGAAAAACAATAAGAAAAAACCTTCTACAGGTACATTGGCCAGAAGAGACAGGCCAGTACGGGCGTACCTACTTTGGTAAATTTAAAAGGAGAACTGGCTTCAGCAGATGAAGAGAAAGCTGAGGTGCTGAATGAGTTCTTCACCTCTGTCTTCACTGGTGGCCAGGATTCTAGTCTTTTCATGTCCCTGAACCCTGCATCCCCAAACCTCTATGTGGGGACCAAGGAGGTAAATCCCTCCCCACTGTAAGGGCAAAGCAAGTCCGAGAGTGCCTCCTTAGACTGAATGAATACAAGTCTATGGGGCCAGATGGCGTGCATCCCAGGGTCCTGAAGGAGCTGGCTGAGGTGGTTGCTGAGCCGCTCTCCATCATATTTGAGAAGTCGTGGCTGTCAGGTGAGGTCCTGGATGACTGGAGGAAGGGTCACGTCACTCCCATATACAAGAAAGGGAGCAGGGAGGACCCGGGGAACTACAGGCCGGTAAGTCTCACCTCCGTGCCTGGGAAGATCATGGAACAGATCCTCCTGGACAACATGCTCGGTCACATAAAGAATGAGCAAGTGATCCGAGACAGCCAGCACGGCTTCACCAAAGGAAGGTCATGCCTGACTAATCTTGTGGCCTTCTATGATGGAGTGACGGCATTGGTGGACGAAGGGAAGGCAACTGATGTCATTTACCTGGACCTGAGCAAGGCCTTTGACATGGTCCCCCACCACATCCTCATCTCCAAATTGGAGGGAGGTGGATTTGATGGGTGGACGACCCGATGGATAAGCAATTGGTTGAAAGGCCGCAGACAGAGGGTGGTGGTCAATGGCTCTATGTCCAGGTGGAGGCTGGTAACAAGTGGTGTCTTCCAAGGGTCTGTCTTGGGACCGGTGCTCTTTAACATCTTTATTAATGACATCGATGAGGGAATTGAGTGCACCCTCAGCAAGTTTGCTGACGACACCAAGCTGAGTTGTGCGGTTGATACGGTGGAAGGAAGAGATGCCATTCAGAGGGACCTCGACAGGCTTGAGGGCTGGGCTCGGGTGAACCTAATGAGGTTCAACATGGCAAAGTGCAAGGTTTTGCATTTGGGCCGGAAGAACCCCAGGCACCCGTACAGGCTGGGAGGAGTGGTCCTTGAGAGCAGCTCGGCAGAGAAGGACCTGGGAGTCCTGATGGACGAGAGACTTAACATGAGCCAGCAGTGCGCTCTGGCAGCTCAAAAGGCAAATGGGATCCTGGGCTCCATCAGGAGAGGGGTGGTCAGCAGGGAGAGGGAGGTGATTGTCCCTCTCTACTCGGCTCTTGTGACGCCCCATCTGGAGTACTGTGTCCAGGTGTGGAGCCCTCAGTACAAGAAAGACATGGAGATTTTGGAAAGAGTCCAGAGGAGGGCGACTAAGATGATCAGGGGGCTGGAGCACCTCCCCTATGAGGACAGGCTGAGGGAGTTGGGCTTGTTCAGCCTGGAGAAGAGAAGGCTGCGGGGTGACCTCATTGCAGCCTATCAATACCTGAAGGGAACCTACACCCAGGAGGGGAGTAAACTCTTCAGAAGGGCTGACAACAGCAGGACTAGGGGAAATGGATCCAAGTTGAAGGAGGGAAGATTTAGGTTGGATGTTAGGGGGAAGTTCTTCACAAGGAGAGTGATTAGGCCCTGGAATGGGCTGCCCAGGGAGGTTGTGGATGCCCCGTCCTTGGACGTGTTCAAGGCCAGGTTGGACGGGGTCCTGGGCAACCTGATCTGAATGTGTATGTTTGGTGGCCCTGCTAGGCAGGGGGGTTGGAACTACATGATCCTTGAGGTCCCTTCCAACCCGGGTGATTCTGTGATTCTGTGATTCTGTAATCACAGTTTCTAGCAGTGTGGCTCCACTGACAGAAAAAAAGATATTTCTACCAAGACTACTGAAGGTTTTTTTGAAGTGTTCTGAGGCTCGTAAAGTCATAAAATCATACCATGGTGTGTTTTGTTTTCAGGTGTTCCAGTGCCTAATCATTGAAGGGGAGAACAGTGGGGAAGATGCTCTGAGGGAAGCAGATAAATTTGTTATCAGCGATGAAGACTTCGAGCAGTTCCTGGAACGCCACAAAGATGTCCCCTGTTTGGTACCTGAATCTAATCAAAAGGTAAAACTGAGACCGTCTTTCCATAAATTTATTTTGTGGCTAGCTGGAAAGGTATTTGATAACTAGTAGGCGTCATGGTAATTAGCACTTTCTCTATTAATATTGGGTTAGAAGAGCTATAGAGATAATTAGACAACACCTGGTTTCCTGGTTTTGTTACAGTGGAAACCAAAGTGTTTTATTTTCTTTAAGGCTTCTTAAAGAGGACAAAGTTATTAATTAAAGGGAGGGTAAAAACTCACTGATCTCAGTCCTGATGGGCTTCCTGTCACAGTGTTGCATGGCCGTCTGAATTATGTGGATATAAAAAGTATCATTACAAAAAGGGTAGAAACTGAAATTTCCACAGTTGAGTTGTGAACTCTAAATACCTGTGAAACTGGATATGCCTCCCTTAAAAGTCTGATAAGGTTCAGTATCAAAGTAAAGACAATTTGTACTCTTGGTTCTCCTTTCACTTATGAAGGTAATTTTTTTGGGGGGGAACAGTGGACAGACAAGTAGGAGATACTCAGGAAATGCCCATTTAGCTCATGAAGTGTGTCTTTATTTCTACTCTTGGCTTATTTCCTTGTGCAGACCTGAGAGCTTTTTGATCTGGGAGATTACCACTGGCATCTCTGTCTGCTGAGGTGATAATTAAACAGCCCTGCTTAAATAGTCATGTCATTTGTTCGGCAAATGACTTAATCATTCTAGAATGCAAAACTGTAATTTTTGCTGATGTTGAAGTTATCAGCAAACTTGAACGTTATTTAGAGCACCCGAATACAACTGAAAACCCACATTTGAATTTGACATTTTAAGATGTCAAATTCAAATGATTTCTGGTTTGTTCATGTGATAAGTCATAATAGTAATCCTGTGACTTATTCCTGTAAATTTGATCCAGATTCACTGAAATCCATGGGAGGACACTACTCTGGTTCAAAGACTTGGATCAGGCTTTAAAAGAATAATTTGTTTGTCTTGTCCTTGACTTTCATGAGAGTAGAATTTTCGTTTGTGTACTAATATTTTATTTTTAATCTATTATAGATGAGGGATTCATACCTCATTTTGGATGAATACGTAAGTCTTTGTTTTATTCTTAATATTTGCCTGCCAATGTATGCTCACATGTACAACAGTAATAGCCAACTTAATTTTGTCTATGCATTCCATAAAAAAATTTTTACTGTATAGTACAGATGTGATTTCTTCCTCTCAGACACATTGAGAAATGAATATAAGTGTGACATAAGGAGGAACTGCCATTGGCTTGCATGCATAATGTTGCAAATCTTAAAGCATATATATGTCATTGCTGCTTTCCTGTAATTTAAATATATAGAGCTTGTCCTGAAAACTAAGTTTCAAAGAATATGCTTGTTTTACACATAGTTGAAGAAAAGCATTAAATCTTCAGGATTTGGAGTAAGGCTCTGTTCCTGCTAATGTATGTCATTGTGTCTAACTGAGCCATCTGAGGACTGCAGTGATACTCCTCATATTCTTACACAGGCTGCTGTGGGATTGCAATGCAAGTTCATTCTGCTTAATCCTGTAGAAAAATTAAGCTTTTACAAACTAACTTTCTAACTTATTTCATAATGGTTTTCCAGATGCGTTTTCTAAACTGTAGAAATGGACGGAAAGAGCCTTCCAAGTCTATCCTGGACATTGGTGTAGAAGCAGCAATAAAATTCAGTGGATTTGATGAAAAGATGTTCCTAAAACGAGGAGGAAAGTACGTGTGGAGTAAAGCAGACATGATTCTGGATTGGTAACTCTGTGCACTGAGATGTGATGTGCATTTTCAAAAGAAGATTGTGTATACATGTGTACATTTATTTAGCTGTATATATATATATTGATTGCTGCTAACTACAATATGTTACACTATACAGGTTGATGTATAACTTGATACATGAGTGATTCTATGATTTTATGATTCTATGAATGTGTTAAATGTTTTTAGGATGCAGATTTTGTTCTTACTCATTCACTGGTTGAATGTTACTGAGCAGCTACAGAGCTTTCATAGAAGTATGAAGGACTTAATGGCAAACCATTAGGATCCTGTTACATGGTATCTTACACAGTATTAAGATAATAGATAAGTGTGGTTGTAGAAAAAAAAACAAACAAGCAAACCCATTATATAGAGTTGCAGTGGTTGATAAGTGCAAACTCATATGAGGAAATATTCTTATCTCCTCATACAGTTTTTGCAGTTCCTTGCCAGCTCACAAGAGGGCCCACAGGCAATCCTTTGGAACCAGCCCACATCTTTTTCAGACATAATAGAGGGTCAGAATGCTGTTATCATTATATATACTCAACAGGAAACTGGGATTTAAAAAAAAAAAAAAAAAAAAAAAAAACAGTTTTCCTTTTTAAAATGTTAAAGGCATCTGTTGTTTTTCTCCCTCCTCTCCATATACACATGTGGCATTTGCAAAAATACTGGCAGATGTAATTTTCTCTGAAAATATTGTTTTTAGTCATGTGAGAATATTGTTTTTCTCCTAAAACATGAAAATGAATTTTACCCAATAGCAAACAACTTCTTGATTCACATTGACAATGACCTCAGTTCTGACAAAAATTTACAGTGGAAACAATGTTTGCATTTTATTCATAACTTTGTCCATTCTCCTCTTTTCTGCAAAAGTTGATTTATTATTTTCAACAGCCACTTGCACACAGATTTGTTCAAGATCCTTTCTGAAATGAGTGAATAATATGTAAGGCACTTCACATGTGTCTTCTCTTGAATACAGGCAGGGCTTCTTCCCATGCTTTTTGTTTTGCTAAGGCATGGATGTGCAAACAACAAGGCTCATATATCATGTACACTTCTTTTGAAGGTTGCTGGCTCTTACCTGCTGGTTGCTAACCGGCAGATATTGAGTGAAACTCATGGGGTTTTCTGAAGGCTGTCTGTGATTTGAAAAGCTGGCAGCATTAATATGTAATAGAAAATAGACAAACAAAAACACCCTGTGATAATTAAATGTGCTGCCTGCTTGCTTGGTGTTCTGATAATTTTATAGTGTTCTAATTACAGTTTTTCAAAGCTAATGGTCCCATCCTCCCCAGAGCTCTATATGGGGACCTGGGGGTAACCTTTGCACAAACAGCAGTGAGCGAGCACTGCTTGTTCTCACTGCCTATTGCACTTTCTGCTCAGGCTGCCTCAAATGTCTAAATACTTTCAAACGCTGGAAGCCAGCATGCATTAAACATACTATGCACAGTACACCTTCTTTCCCTTTTCTGACTGTACCCATATTTTTAAAAACATTTTAAAGAGAAATGTCTTGCATTCACCCAATGCATCTTCAGAACTAAAGGGAAGGCTCTTAAACAGGAGCTGGTTCTTCTAAAGAGCAAAAAGATGCACCTCTGAAAACTGTGAATATGTTTCAGTTTACAGTTCTTTCCGTTTCTGTTTTTATTGCCCTAACTGCAAATGCACCATCTCAGTGGTGCTCCTTTGCCTTTTTGCATCTTGCCTTCACTTCCGATGCATTTCTGTATTTTTTTTTTTTTTCGTTATTTATACTCGGTGACATTTTAAATGTGGCCCACACGCATTAACCCCACAGTCTTTTGGCAGCTGTTCTGCTGACCTCTGCTGGAGTTTTGCCCGAGTGCCAACTACGGGCAGCGCAAATCCATGTGATTGCAGTGCTTTACTTCCTCTGTGCTCCCATTGCTCAGGCGTGAAGTCTGTCTTCTTCCTCAGCACCGACGCTGCATGATAGAAAAGGAGCATTTTCCTTTGCTGCTGGCTCAGCCCCAGCCCGAGGAAAGATTTAGTGCATCCCTGTGCCACTAAATCCACCCGCTTGCCGCTGCTGCAGAAAACGCCAGCTGTATCGCGGCGCGCAGATGTGCGGTGCACAAAACCCCATTCAGAGCCAGAAATCCTGCCATGCTTCCCTGAGTGTTCTGCTCTGTAAATGGCCATTGTTGTGCTCCAAGAGATCGCTGTGCTGCAGGAGGAAGCTGCAAGATAAACAAAAGGAGCTGAGAATGTGAAAGCGCTGTGAATAGTTTGAACACTAAAGCACGAAGGATGGTTTTAATCACAAGGTTCTAAGTTATTTCTTAAAATGCTCAGGACTCTGCATTGCTTCTTGCCACCGTACATAACTGAGAAAATGGTTCTGCTCTGTGTGACTCTCGCCTTCAAAAAAAAAAAAAAAAAGCAAAAAAAAAAAGCAAAAAAAAAAAAAGCCACATTGTTGTGTACATTGTAAATGAAGAATTTGCCTAACAGTTTGACAGACAAACTTGAAAGTTAATAAATAGCTATTGGGATGTTTATATGCAAAATTCATTTTTGGTATGAAATTACAAACCAAACCAAACAAAAAAAAAAAAAAAAAAAAAAAAAAAAAGTTGGCTGCTTCTTGATTAACCTAGATTATTACTATTATTTCATGTTGGATCAGAGATAGATTTGTGACTTTAATTCTGTGTTTGAGGCCAGAGAAGTAATATTGCATTCAACAGGGCCACTCCCAGGCTGCAGGATTACACATGCACATCAGAGAATCAGGGTGTGAATTTGTGTCCTGCAAACACAGATAAACCAATTGCATTTTCAGGTGTAATCCCATAGCAGTGCAGCCACTGGGTCAGGCAAGGTGAGCACCTTACACTGCAGTTTATCAGCGCTGTGCGGCTATTTTTAAAACTTGTTGAGATGAAAGTTGGGGAGAATTGGTTCAGTTTAAATTAGCAGGATTATAACTTGAGTTATAATTGAGTGGATAATACTGTTGTGTAAGATGCATTTTACGATGCACTCTTTTTCAATGTGAAAGAAGATCAGTGCATTTTAATGCTGAGAAAATTTTTGAATGATACTGCCACATAATTTGTGCTGAATATTCTACACCAGTATGTTACACATTGCAATAAAATTTTCTACTTTCCTAAGTCTGCCCGTCATTTTTTTAAAAATTATTATTATTTTTTTTCAATGTAGCCCAGACCCACAATAGCTGAATAATGACTGCCTTCATGAGAGCTGTTATTGTGGACAAGGCCTGTGTTTAGCACCAGGCTCTGCCTGCAGGATGTCAATGGCAGTATTGGATGGAGAACAACGGTGGGGACTCCCCTGCCCACCTCTGCAGCTCCATTGCTTTCTTTTGTGCTTCCCCATTGCTCCACACATAAGCCAACAACAGGAAAGCAGCTGTTGAGATTTGTCGGTGTGTTGTTTTTCGTGGTGACGATTTTGTCTTTTTTACTAAACGATGCTTACAAAAGAGCACCTGCAAAACAACCTCGTGGTTTCCTGATGTTTTCACTCTTCCTTTCCTGGCAACAAGGCTGGAATCCTTCTGCCTTCCTTTGTAAAACCCTCATTGTTTCTCTCCTACCGCCGAACGACCTGTTTAGCCGCCGGGCCCGCTGCCAAGGCAGGACAAAAGGAAGGAGAGCGGCGCGGCGCGACGCGGCACACCCGGCCGCTGCTTGGAGCAACGCGGCTGCCAAACGGGAAAGCCCGGCATCCCCGCACCGCTGGCAGCCACAAGGGGGCGCCACAACGCCTGGCGCGGCGCAGCGCGGCGCGGCCGCTTCAAAGCGAGCGGCGGCGGCACCGCGGCGGTTAATGGCGCTCGCGTAGCTGTGGGCGCGCCCGCCCCCGCGCGCCCTCACCCCACCCTCCGCTGCCGCCGCCACCGGCCCTGGGGAAAAGCCCGCGAGCGGTGCCGGCCGCGCGCACTTCGTTCGGTGGCTGCCGGCGGGGGGAGACCATGCGCAGGGAGGCGGCGCCCGGCCGCGGTTCCAGCGGGTAGCGCCGCGCACCTTCGCAACCTTCTCGGCACGGAGCGGTAAGGCGGCGGCAGGGGACTGCGGAGCGGCAGCGGCAGGAAGGGTGCTGCTGGGAGGAGAGATGCTGCTGGGCGGCTCTGCTGAGGATCTCGGGTTGGGAGGGGGAAAGGGTGTCCTCACAGCGGGTGGCCGCGGGGTTCCCGAAAGCCTTTACATAAGGGCCCGCTGGTCCTCGGTGCCGGCTCACCGCCGCCGGTCTCGGCCCCTGCGAGCGCGCGGTGCTGCGGTCCTGTTGCCGTCTGCCGCCCGGCAGAGAGGGGGGGTACAGAGCGCTGCCTCGCTGGGGCCGGAGTCGCCCGCGGGGCGGATGGGCGCGCACCGGTGGAGCTGCTGCCCGCGGTGCAGCCTCCAGCGGGCGTCGCGGGGCGGGGAAGAGAGCGGTTCCGGGGAGTTGTGCGCCGGCTGTCCTGTGATTTACATCGAGGAGCTCGCCCTCCGTCCAGCAGTCCGTTCTCAGCAACACATGGTGTGGTTTTCGGAGAGAAATGGTTTTGTTCGGGTCACAGGGTAAAGAACTAGAAATTGGAGATGTTGTCTCTCTTATTTTAGCTTAATTTGCTGCAATTAAGAGACGCTGCCATTGTGTTTGTGTTTTTTGTTTGTTTGTTTTGTTTTGTCTTTTTTTCCTTCCTTCCAATGTCAGAAGCCACGTGCGTGATAACAAGGTTACTCTCCCCTTGAATCCAAGGGTATCTTCTTGAAGTAGCAGCTCTGTGTCACTTTGTTTCTATGGCTTCTAAACAAGGAGCATTGTTGGGGTAGGCTGCAGGAGTGGATATAAGCTGCCCAAATTTCAGCCTGTTCTTGGAAATACTGTTATTTCTACTCTGGAACAAGTCATGCTGTGTTCTGCAATAAGTAGGAAGAATGGTTTATAAATAGATCCATATGTTTATATTGTTCATGGTGAGGCCAAACAACTGTTTATGTTGTGAAATGGGATTGCTTCATTTCACATCAGCTTATCAGTGCTGACCTAGAAGAGGCTACAGCTGAAGTGGCGACGCTCTTGGTCAGAGTGCTACTGGAAATGACATCAGTTCCAGTTCCTTGGCTTTACAGCTTGTACTCACTGGCCTTGTCCATTGCCTCTGAGTGATTTGCTTGTGGACCTGAGATCTAGCGAGGGAGTGTGGTGGAGGAAGGAGGCTGTGTTCAGGGGATGTTCAGGGCAGATTGGTGCTTTAAACAAAGTGCTCACACCTCAAGGGATCTTTGTGGCAGAGGAGGAGAACATGTATAGCTGTAGGAGAATTTGAATAACTGTCTTGTGTAAGGCAAAAAGGCCC